CATCTTGAGGAGCCCCAGGGACTGCTGAGAGGGCAGCAGGGGGCTCTGGACTGAGAAACCCTGTTTTCAGGGCAGAGTGATTTGCTGTCTGGGACACCCAGAGGCTGCCTGGGGACATGGCTGTTTCACAAGTGGAGAAGCGGTGCTGTTGGCAGCAAGGGCACAGCCCAAGACACTGCTGCACTTACTGCTGTGCACAGGGCTGGGCCCATCTACTCCAGACACCCGCAGGGTCGCGCTTCCTCAATTTTAATGCAGAGATGTCAGCTGCAGAGGGAGTTGGAGTCCAGGTTCTGACACACATCTGCAGGGTTCTGCATTTCTCTAGCTTCAGGTGATCCTCAAGGTGCTAATCTTCCTCAACTCACATTCCTTCCACTCCTCAGACATCTTCCTCTGTGGGGACAGTGTCATCATGCACCAGGCTTCCTCCAGAGCCTGGAGCAGTATCACTGATGCAGGAGACAGTTGTATTGTTGGGGTACACATCTGTAATCCCAGAGTTTGGGAGGCTGAGGCAAGACTTCCAGTTCAATCTCAGCCTTGGTGATATAATGACTTAGACAGACTCTACCTCTAAAAAGAAAAATCAAAAAAAAACAAACCGCAAAAAAAGCAGGGTTGGAAGTATAGCTCAGTGAAGGCTCTGAGCTCAATCTCCAATATTTCAATAATAATAGTAACAGTAGTGGTAATACATATAAGGGGTAGAAGACAAGGGGTAGAAGGAATGCCAGGGCAGCGCAGTAGGAAGCACACAGTAAGAGGTGAGCATTAAGAGGGTGATGCTTCTCTGCATTTCCCTCCTTGCTGTGGCCTACATGGTCACTCGAGCTCTTCCTGCATTGATCGGCAAGGCGTTGCCCACCCGTGGCATCCCAAGCCCTACTGTGAACTGCATGTGTGAGGTCTCAGTTGCTGCTCCCTATGAGACTCTAACGCTGGTGGTCTGAGGTGTAGCTGAGGCAGTGATTCTGGTGCTGGGAGCAGCTGCGAACCCAAATGAACATCCACAGAGAGGTGTGACTGACTACAGAACACAGCAGGTCAGTGTGTGCAGACTGGTACCGATGCTATCTGTGAGTGGCGAGTGACATGGCCATCTCAAGTCAGAATCTGACCCTTATCGGAGTCCATACATGGCCTACACTCTCTTGATCTACATGTCCATCCCTGCCTCCTTCTCACTCTGCGCCCTTGGTTCTGTCACCATTTGGGAAAGCCCACAAACTGACCTGGCCAAAAAACTAATTTCAGAGAAAGGTTTATTTGAAAAGTCAGAAAAACTCAGAGCTGAGACCACAGACTGCCCGCCAAATAAAGAAGCTTTCCCTGACTAACTATATATACTGATACCTGTGAACTAAGCTACTGCACTGCAAATGGTAATTTGTAATAGTAGTTTCATGCTTGGAGTGCCTGTCATTCTGGTCTTCTGAATATGGACTGCTTGTCATGACATGCCAGTTGCTGCTATGATGTCTCT